GATTTAACATGAAACAACATAAAATGACTTGACATGCTTATAAACACATAATATCATGAAATTGCATGAACAAGACATGAACATGACTTGGAAAAAGGGTTGTAGCGTGCGCGTAAATGCGACCTGACGCTACGACCGATATGTTCGGCCATTTAACAATTCTCCCGAACGAATAACACATGAATCACTTTAACTGATTATAACATGAAAGGTTATACATAACATGGTCATATGACATGAACATAACTCGAGCAATAGTAAAGGCCGTGGCTTCCGCTACGTGCGGTGCCCGACGGCTTTGGCCAACCTACGGCAAAACGGTGACTTTCCTCGACAAACCTTACTTAACTGAACATAATGAATCAAATAATGACTAAAGGAACAAAAGTTGCTCAGAAGTTGTCGAATAAAATCGAACATGGCTCGGCATAGCTTGAATTAACTTAAACTGAAAAGACAAGTGATATTCCAATTGCTTTGTCATTTGTTTTTGTTTGATGAGTTTTCATTGTCACATTCTCCAACATACCATGGCTAAAGGACCGAGATACTGTTGACTTGGGTTAGTCCAAATGAGTTTATCGGGCCTTGTTGGGTTGGCCTGATAAGTAGTGTGCTTTAATAGCATAAACTGATTGACATGACTTAGACATACTAAACGTAACATGAGCAGATTGACATCAAAAGAGGGTTAGGACATGATTACCTCCTCAAACTCTCGATAACTTCCGCTCGGTACTTTGCTCATGCGTACGTGGTTGCTTCCTTCTTCTCTTGCGTGCGGTACTCTTAACTTGGGTAATTATATCTAATTCTATGCTTGTAAGGTAAGTGGAGTATGAGATCAATTTTTTTTCCTCCAACTCTCTCATCTATATAACCGAATGACGATAAATTCATGACCAATGAAAAGGTTCCATTTGCTTTGCTCTTAAGGCATGAAGTGTACTACTACTTGCAAAGTCATCAATTAATTGGCTTAGTCACCACTTAAGCCTTAAGAATAAGCCACCTCATGCTAAGAAAATTAGGAAGCTTCACATGAATTATTTGCTCCAAGGCTTACGGCATTTGAACACTTCCCATTTCCTTAAGCGTTACTAAAATGCTTAATTAAGCACCATAAACTTGCTTAATTATTTGGCCATGCATAATTACTAGATTAAGCTTGTTATATGATTACTAATACATGACATTTCCCACTAATTGCTCACGTTTTGCAACTTAAATTAGGAGAATTTCATGACTTCTAATTGACTAATTGCTCACGGCCTTTAGCAAATTAAGCGTGATTAATTAATTAATCACTACATTATGCTTAATTAATTACTAAGCATATTGCTTAATTACAAAAATTATTCCGAACGTAAACGAGACGTCGAAAATAATTTCGGGTAATCTTGACTGAAATAATTAATATGAAAATAATAATTTATTTTATCGGAACTAAAAACATGATTTATATTACTAACATGACAGGATACTCATGAGTTGGACGATTAATCCGAATATTGATATTTTGGATAATTC